GCCGAGAATATCGCTGCCGTACGAGCCAGTGTTGAGAGGTCCCCAAGAACATCCCAAAAACGCCGTTCTCAGCAGTTGGGCATGGCTCGGTCCACTTTACAACGGATTATTCGCATTGATTTGCATTTGTTCCCGTACAAAATTCAATTGACGCAAAGAATGTTGCCTGCGGACAAGCCTCGTCGACTGGAATGGGCCCAAAAAAACATGGGTCCGTCGAACATGGGCAACCCTGTATACGTCTACAAAATTTGTCCATGTCCCGGCCGGAATCTACTAATCAAGGTATCTTTTCAAAATTGCTGGATACCGGTAGTCTAACTGTTAAATTTTGGTCGAATTCTTGCAACTAAAAGTTATTGGTCCTCCAAAAATATTTGAAATATTTGTAACCACGCTATCTTTCGAATGAATTGAGATAGATGGCTAAAATTTTGCACACATGTTTATTTCGCCAGTAGGCAGGTTAAGTTCGTAAATCGGCCATTAGGTGCACGTTTTCATATTGCCCCTATATAACGTTACCTCTCGATATTCGGTATTTTGATGATTTTAGCGACATTATTCACCGGAATTGTTTCAAATTTTGTATTTGAAGTTCGTAATGGATACTACAGCCTAAGACAGAAACTGAGCCATGTGGGTCCACGTCTTCGTATAGCGCCCATATAACTGTACCTCTCGATATCCGGTATTTTGATGATTTTAGCAAATCCATTCAGCGGAATTGTTTCAAATTTGGTATTTGAAAGTCGTAATGGATACTACATTCTCAGACAGAAAATGAGCCATGTAGGTCTTCGTATAGCCTCCATATAACGGTACCTCCCGATATTCGGTATTTTGATGATTTTAGCGACATTATTCATCAGAATTGTTTCAAATTAGGTATTTGAAGTTCGAAATGAATACTACAGCCTAAGACAGAAAATTGTCTGAGCAGCTCCATGTCTTCGTATAGCCCCCATATAACGGTACCTCCAGATATTCGGTATTTTAATGATTTTAGCGTCATTATTCATCAGAATTGTTTCAAATTACGTATTTAGAGTTTGTTATGGGATCTACAGTCTGTGACAGAAAATTGTCTATGCAGGTCCAGGTCTTCGTATAAGCTCCATATATCAGTACATCCCTATACTCGGTATTTTGACGATTTTAGGTACAATACCCACAGAAATTGTTTGAGATGTCGCATTTGAATTTCGTAATGGATGCTACAGCCTGTGACAGAAAATTGTCTATGCTGGTCCAGGTCTTTGCACAGCTCCGATATAACGATACGATTAGCTACATTATTCACCGTTTATTTCAAGTTTCGAATTTGAATATGGTAATGACTTATGCCAAGCAATGCCTTACGGCTATATTTGGTATTTTTAAAATTTTAACAGAATTTTTTAAGAATTCTATTTTTTGCAAATTTCCAAATTCATTCCAAATGGTGGAGGGTATTCAAAGTTTTGGTAAAAATCTTCCCGACAAAATATTGGTATTTTTTTCAGTTCTTCTCTTCGCCCAAACCTAACTCCGTTTACAAATTCCCATATCGTAATTGTTAACCTTCCTCAAAGCATTTCCCCAAAATCAAATACATAACAAGTTAAAATAAATATTTATCTAATGTTTCAATTTGACATTATAACCTGCTGCTTATCATAGCTAAAATCAGCTCAAGGGGGGGGTTGGGGTGGTAAACAACAACTTCATCAGACATAAAGACACACACGCACACACTCTGCAGTTCATTACAAAGAACTTCACTTGAAATTGGTTCCGCTGCTATGGTGAATGACTGTGAAATGGGGAAATAGTGGTAAATCCCAATCGGCCAGCCAGCCTGCCGTTCGACCAGACAGACAACAACCACCAGCAAACCAACATCCTTTTTTCCCAACAACTCTGTTGCGGAACGCATAACAACGCATTTACTTCATTAAAATAGACGCAAACAAGAGACAAGAGCGGGGTATAAATGATAGACAGACAGCCTCAATGATACATATGCTCGTTGATCCTTTTTTTCCCGTATGAGAGCTTGTGTGTGTGCCGGGGAGGGAGGCAGAAATACATAAATGTATGCCACCCACCACAGTTATCTTTGTTACGGTTTGGCTTGTTTTTTCCATCGTTTTTGCTGTTTGCACATCCTTGTTTAGAGTATTTAGTGTAGTTTCACTTGATTCGCTTGTGATAGACATAAGTAGAATTGATCCCTTCCCTTTTGGAAATTGTCGCCCACCCTCGCCACCACCATCACCCTTCTCCAGGGCTTACAGTTTTGCCGAACAAGCGGCTTTTCTCTTGATGAGCTTCAATGACGATGAGGACGAGACTTTAAAAGGGTTGCAGATTTTGGTTGTTATGGAACTCCATGGTCGTCTGCCATGGAGTTAGACACTAACTGCCCCTGCTCTACCCCTCGAAGGTCTGGGTAGTGATGATGTTACCATGCCATCATTCCACGTTGTTTTTTCATCGGCCTCTCAAAGTTTTAATAACATTTAAAGCGTTTGTATTTGTCAAGCAAGCAAAAAACGGAAATCAGAGATGCTGGAGTTGCCCTTGGGCGAGAGGAGAGGGGGGTTAGGTTGCATCGATTCATCACAACCATAACCATAGTTACCCGTTAAATTTTCGTCCAAGATTATATTGTCATTACTTTGGATTATCGACAAATGTTGTTATAATACGCAAATGCGATTAACAAGGGCCGTGGAAAGGGAAGGAGGGGGAAAGAGAAAAAGCCAGCGAAGTGGAATTTTGAGTTTTAGAATTTGAATTTTACTTTTTCTCCATTGCAATTAGAAAGTACGTTGCAGAAAGTCTAGACTGGAAGTTATTTTTATAGAAGACGAGAAGGTCTTCTTATAGAAGACCCCAACTGTCTTCCAAAAAGCCTTCATACAGAAGAACATTGGTCTTCTCATGGAAGAGCAGAAGACCCTTTATAACCATAAAAGAACAGAAGGTCTACTTCGCCATAGAAGACCCGAGAGTCTCCTTCGCCATAGAAGATTCGAAGGTCTCCTTCGCCATAGAAGACCCGAAGGTCTTCTTCGCCATAGAAGAACCGGAGGACTTATTCGCCATAGAAGACCCTAGGGTCTTCTTCGTCATAGAAGAGACCTGAAGATCTTCTTCGTCATAGAAGAGACCCGAAGGTCTTCTTCGTCATAGAAGAGACCCGAAAGTCATCTTCGTCATAGAAGAGACCCGAAGGTCTTTGTCGTCATAGAAGACCCGAAGGTCTTATTTGTCATAGAAGTCCCGAAGGTCTTCTTCGTCTTAGAAGACCCGAAGGTCTTCTTTGTCATAGAAGTACCGAAGGTCTTCTTCGTCTTAGAAGACCCGAAGGTCTTCTTCGTCATAGAAAACTCGAAGGTCTTCTTCGTCATAGAAGACCCGAAGGTCTTCTTTGTCATAGAAGACCCGGAGGTCTTCTTCGTCATAGAAGACCCGAAGGTCTTCTTCGTCATAGAAGACCCGAAGGTCTTCTTCGTCATAGAAGACCCGAAGGTCTTCTTTGTCATAGAAGACCCGGAGGTCTTCTTCGTCATAGAAGACCCGAAGGTCTTCTTTGTCATAGAAGAGACCCGAAGATCTTCTTCGTCATAGAAGAGCAGAAGCTCTTCTTCTCCATAGAAGAGCAGAAGCTCTTCTTCTCCATAGAAGAGAATGTTCTTATAGAAGAGCAGAAGCTCTTCTTATGGAAGAACAGAAGCTCTTTCCTATTGAAGAGCAAAGCTCTTCTTCATAGAATGTAGGTTTTCTTCCTGGAAAACCTAGAGAAAAACTAGATATTCTGCCAAGAAGAGGAGTAGGTCCTTTCCATAGAAGACCGGAAGTTCTTATAGAAGCCCAGAAGAAAGTCTTCTTTTAGAACACCAGAAGTTATTCTTATAGAAAACCGCAAGTTCTTCTTCTCATAGAAGACCAGAAGAAGGTATTCTCCATAGAAGACCAGAAGAAGGTCTTCTCCATAGAAGACCAGAAGAAGGTATTCTCCATAGAAGACCAGAAGAAGGTCTTCTCCATAGAAGACCAGAAGAAGGTTTTTGGTATTTTGATGATTTTAGCGACATTATCCACCGGAACTGTTTCAAATTTGGTATTTGAAGTTCGTAATGGATACTGCAGCCTCAGGCAGAAATTTGTCTGTGCAGGTCTACATTTTGGTATAACCACCCAATACTGATGATTTTAGTTACATTCTTCACCGAATTTTTGTCAAGTTTCGCATTTGAATGTTATAATGACTTATGACAACACTTGCCTATGCAGGTCCACCACGTCGTCGTTTATACCCTAATATGACGGCTACATTTGGTATTTTTTTAAGATTTCAAGAGAATTTTTAACGGATTTTATTTTTTTGAAAATTTCCAAATTCGTTCCAAATGGTGGGGGGTATTCATAGATCGGCCCGACCGGACTCAAAGCTTTTTTACTTGTTTTTTTTTTCCTCAAAAAAATATTTTTCTTCATTCTCTGTCAGTTTGTCTTGTTAACGTTTGTTCGATTCCATGTAGTTTTTTTTGGAGATTTCTTTCGCCATAAAAAAAATTTATGCCTAGAAGTGAAAAACTTCCAGCTAAAGTTTTCATCACGTCACAGCGATTCTAAAATAAATAATCGAAAGCACGTAGAGGCACGTGTGCGGGCGTCGTGAAGCATGTCATCCATCCATTCATCGTTCATGTATCTCCAAGGAGTTATAACGATACAATGTGTTGAGTTAAGGATATGCGTGAGTGTGTTATTGCTTTTTGCAACAATTATTTGTGGAAGATGAGGCAAGGAGTGAGAATGTATTTTTCAAGTTTTATTTGCTTATGGGGGAGAGAGGGAGAAATAAAATTATTTTCTCTCCAAATTAAACATTTTTTTCAAATTTTCTTTTTTAATAACAAAATTTTAAAAATTGTCAAAAAATGTATTTTTTAAAAATTTAACAAATTTTATATAATTTTTTTTTTTTTTGTTTTTTGTAATTACAGCACATGGGCGTGCACCACCCGAGCCCTATTACGGTCGTTTCATCGGACACTTTACAAATTTCGCTCATGGCATAAAGGTATGTAACAACACAGCAACAACAGTTTTAAGCTCTGCAACAAACTTTAGTTTTGTGGTTTCGCATTAAAATACGTTTTTTTTTCAATAACTTTATTTGGGTCTCCAACACCCCATTCTCTCTCTCCCAACTTTTTCTTCTCTTAATAATTTATTTTTGTTTTGATTCTTTTCTCTACTCCTCTTCCCAATCCAGGGTTCCGTTTATGCTGTGGACGAATCAACGCTCTTCATCAAGTCCTTTGCCTACGATGGCACGGGACCGGATGCCTTCTTCTGGGTTGGCAAAACACCGCGACCAAGTCCAGAAGGATTCATTATACCATACCCAGAGGACTATACAGGATTGTAAGTAGGCAGAGAATTATGCAAACATATATATTTAAGCAAACATAAAAATATATACTTATATTTATACAACCTTACATAGATTCTATTCATATAAGCTCATCATACTCATGGTCGTATAGTAACTATGACAAACATGTAAAAAAGCTGTAAATTCGGCCGGGCCGAACTTTGAATAGCCTCCACCATTTGTATTGAATTTGGCAATTCTCAAAAACAATAAAATCCGTTAAAAAGTCTATTAAAATCTTAAAAATAGCGAATGTAGATGTTATATTAGGGTCTATACGACGACATGGACCGGCATAGGTATCTTTAGCCATAAGCCAATACTATATTCAAATGTGAAACTTAAAAAAAATCGGTGATTAATGTAGCTAAAATCATCAGAATACCGAATATCGGGAGGTATCGTTATATGAGGGCTATACGAAGACGTGGACCTGCACAGACAATTTTCTCTCTTAGGCTGTAGTATCCATTACGAACTTCAAATACGACATCTCAAACAATTTCGGCGAATTTTGTACCTAAAATCGTCAAAATACCGAATATAGGGAGGTACTGATATATGTGACCTATACGAAGACCTGGACCTGTATAGACAATTTTCTGTCAGAGACAGTAGTTCCCATTACGAACTATAAATACGTAATTTGACACTACTCCGGTAAATAATGTCCCTAAAATCATCAAAATACCGAATATCGGGAGGTACCGTTATATGGGGGCTATACGAAGACGTGCTTTTGCACAGACAATTTTCTGTCCTAGGCTGTAATATCCATTAGGAACTCCAAATACCAAATTTGAAACAATTCCGATGAATATTGTCGCTAAAATAATCAAAATACCGAATATCGGAAGGTACCGTTATATGGGGGCTATACGATGACGTGGACCTGCACAGACAATTGTCTGTCTTAGGGTGTAGTATCCATTTCGAACTTCAAATACCAAATTTGAAACAATTCCGGTGAATAATGTAGCTAAAATCATTAAAATACCGAACATCGGGAGGTACCGTTATATGGGGGCTATACGAAGACGTGGACCTGCATAGGAAATTTTCTGTCTTAGGCTGTAGTATCCATGAGGAACTTCAAATACAAAATTTGAAAGAATTCCGTCGAATAATGTCACTAAAATCATCAGAATACCGAATATCGAAAGGTACCGTTATATGGGGGCTATATCAAAACGTGGTCCCATTTTCTGTCTTAGGCTGTGGTATCTATTAAGAATATCAAATACCAAATTTGAAACAATTCCGGTGAATAATGTCGCTAAAATCATCAAAGTACCGAATATCGGGAGGTATTTTTATATGGGGGCTATACGAAGACATGGACCTGCACAGACAATTTTCTGTCTAAGGCTGTAGTATCCATTGCGAACTTCAAGTATCAAAATTTGAAACAATTCCGATGAATAATATCGCTAAAATCATCAAAATACCGAATATCGGGAGGTACCCTTATATGGGGGCTATACGAAGGCGTAGACCTGCACAGACAATTTTCTGTTTTAGGCTGTAGTATCCATGAGGAACTTCAAATACAAAATTTGAAAGAATTCCGTCGAATAATGTCACTAAAATCATCAGAATACCGAATATCGAAAGGTACCGTTATATGGGGGCTATATCAAAACGTGGTCCCATTTTCTGTCTTAGGCTGTGGTATCTATTAAGAATATCAAATACCAAATTTGAAACAATTCCGGTGAATAATGTCGCTAAAATCATCAAAGTACCGAATATCGGGAGGTATTTTTATATGGGGGCTATACGAAGACATGGACCTGCACAGACAATTTTCTGTCTAAGGCTGTAGTATCCATTGCGAACTTCAAGTATCAAAATTTGAAACAATTCCGATGAATAATATCGCTAAAATCATCAAAATACCGAATATCGGGAGGTACCCTTATATGGGGGCTATACGAAGGCGTAGACCTGCACAGACAATTTTCTGTTTTAGGCTGTAATATCCATTAGGAACTTCAAATACCAAATTTGACACAATTCCGATGAATAATGTCGCTGAAATCATCAAAATGCCGAATATCGGGAGGTAACGTTATATGGGGGCTATACGATGACGTAACCTACACACATAATTTTCTGTCTTAGGCTGTAGTATTCATTACGAACATCAAATACCAAATTTGAAACAATTCCGTTGAATATTGTCGTAAAAATCATCAAAATACCGAATATCGGGAGGTAACGTTATATGGGGGCTATACGAAGACGTGAACCTAAACAGACAATTTTCTGTCTTAGGCTGTAGTATCCGTAACGAACATCAAATACCAAATTTGAAAGAATTCCGGTGAATAATGTCGCTAAAATCATCAAAATACCGAATATCGGGAGGTACCGTTATATGGGGGCTATAGGAAGACGTGGACCTGCACAGATAATTTTCTGTCTTAGGCTGTAGCATCCATTACGAACTTCAAATATCAAAATTTGAAACAATTCCGGTGAATAATGTCACTAAAATCATCAAAATGCCGAATATCAAGAGGTACTGTTATATAGGGGGGCTATATGAAGACGTGGACCTGCACAGACAATTTTTTCTCTTAGGCTGTGGTATCCATTTCGAACTTCAAATACCAAATTTCAAACAATTCCGGTGAATAATGTCGCTAAAATCGTCAAAATAGCGAATATCGGGAGGTTCCGTTATATGGGGGCTATACCAAAACGTGGACCTACATGGCCCATTTTCAATACCAAAAGTCCTGCAGACATAACATACAATTGAGTAAAATTTTATTAATCTACTTCAATTTGTTCGGAAGCTAAAGTGATTTTCACAGACGGACGGACGGATAGACGGACAGACATCGGAAAATCGACATGGAATTTTATGCTGATCAGAAAATATATATAATTTGTGGGGTCTAAAATATATATTTCGAGGTGTTACAAACGGAATGGCAATCTTAATATAGCTCCATACTATGGTGGAGGGTATAAAATTTAATGTCCTGCCGTATGAGAGTGTGGTTTCAATTGCAAAACCATTTTTAATGCACTTTCCATTACGTGGCGGACAACAAAAAATAGTGTGATAGATTCAATCGGTTTGAACGACATGTCAATATATCCTCGGTCCAAGACCATTTTGAAAAAAGGCAGCACTTGTGAAATTCAAGAATGATGCGTGGAAATGTCTGTCGTCGAACCCTATCTAAGGACGGAAATACATAAAGCCCATATTTGGCTGGCCTAAATCATCGGCTGGATTCTTTGTAGATGAACAAAGGAGTTTTATGTTGACTTGATTTGATTTTGGCCCTAGGCTCCTTTGTTCATTTCCGAAGAAGCCAGCCGATGACTTAGGCCAGCCAAATATGGGCTTTATGTATTTCCGCCCTTAGATAGGGTTCGAAGACAGACATTCCCACCCATTATTCCGGAATTTCACAAATGCCACTTTTTTCAAAAAGGTCTTTGTATGGTTGCCAAAGTTGTCATTGATCGAATCAAAGTTATGAAATCATATATGGACCTAAAGTTATACCAAAAAGTTGATCTTCGAAACTTGCTGACTAAGATAAATATTTGACCATTTATCTGAATCGATTCGTTCATTTGTTTGAATCGAAAATTCTACTCTCTTTTCTTTGGGATCTGAGAACCCTATTTTGAGGAATCTCAGATCCAGCAACAAACCTTACTCTCCCTTTATGCTATAAAATTAAACATAACTGTAACAGAAGAAGCAACATCAACAGTTGTTGAAAAAAATGAAAAATACGTTAAAGCACATTTCCGTTACTTTCCTTCCCGTTTTTAACTTTGCATTTGGTGGACTTACATCTGCGGAGGGGAACATTTAATGGAATCTCGCCAACCCCCCCCCCATTTTTTTTGTCTTTTTGGTGTGTTAAAATTCTGCCATTTGATGGGTGGGTGGCATTGAATGCTTGTGGTTGGTCCCTTTTTGTGTTGTCAAATTTAAGTCCCTGGTTGGTGCGGTTGACAAGTCGGTTGGCCAGTACCGAAACTTTGTAATTCCAACCAAAAAAAAATATTTGTGGTTATTTTGTTTTCTTTGAAAAGATTTCGGGAAAAAATATTTTAAATAAATTTTTTAATTATGACGGAATAAAAAGATTATTTGATGCAAATGTTGACAGTGGCTGCGCCTCAAATGGTCCATACGATTAGTGCAATTTTGGCATACTCTTTCCAACATTTCGGCTTCAATGCTGTCTTCAAATACAAGCTCGTCTGAATAGAGCATACTTTAACATGGCCCCACAAAAAAGTGTCTAAAGGGGTTATATCGCCAATTGACCGGATCCAAACGTAAAATAAAATATTCACCGAACTCGCCTTACAATAAGTCCATTGCTACACAAGCTGTGTGATATGTGACATCGTCTTGTTGAAACCACATGTTATGCAAGTCAAGCTGTTGTATTTTGGAGTTGGATATTCAATAATGCCATCGCCCATATACCGCACCATATTTATTTCAGGATATTTTTTTTGTAGCCTTTGGCTGATCTTTACCTCAAAATCGACAATTCTACGTATTTGTGTACCAAATTGAGTCGCTGCGTTGTTTGTTTGTAGGGCGATTCATGGTTAAATTATAGAAATCTATGCTATTTGACAGTGAAACAGAACAGGAAATTTGCGAATGTTAGAATAAGCGGCTATTCAATACTGATGCTCTGATATTTTCCTGATTTTTATACCCTACACCACATAGTGGTAAGGCTATTATGTCTCTGTTTATTTGTTTGTAACAGGGAGAGTCCATTTTGAGTCCATTCATGCCTGTCAGTCCGCCCTCCGTCCGTCTGTCCAGGTATTCTTGTGAACATGTCGCAAACAAAAAATTTAGGAAATAGCATCAAATTTTAGATTAAGTTCAGATTTGTTCGAATTGATCACCTTTAGGACGAATTATGGCCTTCAAACAGGCAATGAAAGCGTCGCGAGGTGGGCAAAAAAATGTGTGATAGATTCA